TGTCACCGGTACTTATACCGGCTCCCCGTACGGTACGGGGCCCAGTCTGGTACCAGATGTGTATAAGAGACAGGTACGGGGCCCAGTCTGGTACCAGTTCCCTGCTGCTGTACTCGTACTCAGTGTGACTTGCTGTTTCGGCATTCGGAATCCAAGACTTCGACTTTGTGCCTTGCCACTGTGTCTGCGTCCGATCCTCAGTCCGAGTCTGTCGTGTCGAGTGAGTGAGTGTGTGTGTGTGCTCTCACTCTCTCCCTCTCTCTCCTCTCCCTCGGCCCACCCTCAGCCTCACGCTCGTTACACCACCCCACGCTCAGAGGGCCAAACAACGGGAAACAACCAACCAGGATACCAAGACAATAACCCCCCCCCCGGATGACTGGTCCCACATGAAGTACCGCAACCTGCAGCAACATAGACTGAATAACGGGACAAAACCAATCGGGATGCAGACAAGATTACCATAACAAATCTACCATATCCATAGTAAAAAAAAACGGAACCATACAGTAGGCCCGCAAAACGAAACACCCCAGCAACTGGGAAGAATGAGCAACACAAGAAAATGTGGGATGATAGGACGATGATTCAGGCTATTTTCGACGCAAACGAATTCTTACGTGCATTGTCAAGAAAATTTTCTACCATAACCAAAGAAGAGCCTGCTAGTACAGGCCCGACGCTCGCCGCATCATCTACAAAAGCAGGAGCTAGCAACGTCGGAGAGCAGTGCAGCATGGCATGTGCATCTGGGGTAGGTTGGGAGGCCTCGCACGACATATCGTCATGGTTGGCTGCTTGGCACAGAGCTGTGCATGAAGTTGAGAGCCAGAACTTGCCAGGTTCCGTGCAGACTTGTCTGGGGCTAGGTTGCCTGTATTTCGAAAAGTGAAACGCACAGTGCAGCCATGTCTAAAGACAGAAAGAAGAAAATGAGCCCACTCCTGTGGCCATGTTTCATTCCAGTGTACCTAGGCTATCATCAGAGTGGTCAGTGTTTTTTTGTTTTGTTTTTGCGGGGACCTTGTCTGGCCCCTGCCCGACCTGGCGAGCTGGGCTGTGTAGGTGGCCGTGGCCGCGTAGCCCCAGTCCAGTATCAGTTTGGAAATGGTTGGCTCACATGGCCGACCTTTTTTCGTGCTTTTGCTTCATGCGATGACCGTGTACAAGCCCAGCACTGCAAGATGAGCATGTGCAGCCAGCCCTGGTGGATGCTCCTGGAAGCACCCACCCACACACACTGGGATCACACTGGCTCATACCCGAAATGGGTACCTGACCAGGCCTGCAATTTTCAAAATGGTGATAGTGGGCCTGAACAACTACCGTTGAACCATAGAAATCTGATGGTCCCGGCTCCATCCTGATGTTGCTGGGCTGGAATACCAACTTCTTTTTTTGTTTTGTTTTTACCAACTTTCTACAGTGATGGTGATCAAGAGTGTGAACACGCATAAGCATTCGTTTAGTCAAGATGGACCCTAGATGGTAGTTACTGGACAATGTGCGTTTAGGGCATCATGCCCCGCTGTGCACGCATGGCCTCGAACCGGCACCCTCAGCCTCAAGAACGAAGTCTCGTAACCGCTACAACCCTTGGAGGTGTTATAAGAACTGGATCCATACCGGTCGTGATATCCAGCCCACCTCCAGGGCTGTATTGTCCTTGAAATCGCACCACACCACGGACACGGCAATCAACACACTCCGCTCGGAAAACACGCAGCCCCACCACTGCTACTTAACCTGGAACAGACAGCTTCTGCCTCCCAACTATGCCTTATGGTGATTTGGTTTTTGTATTTCCAACAGCTAATGGATCGACCCTGCAAGGAAGAATAGAACCGGCGATCTCGCGCTCAACAGCCATACGCCTTTATCCCAACTACGTCTTTTGGTGAGGGTGTTTGTTGACGGTAAAGCCTTTACCTCATTTGGCTTGGTAGCTCTCTTCACCAGAGTGCGCCACAAGCGCCGCCTTCTGACAGAACCCCTTGCAGGCTCCAAGGCATCGGTGGAAATCGCTGCCTCCATATCCAAAAGATCCATCTTCAGCTTTCCCAACCCAGCGCACAATGCTTCATCATCAGGCTGGGTTGATTTTCTGTCATTTGCAGCAGCAAGCTGCTGGGAATGAATACCTGCCAACAGCTGAATCGCTTCCATAATCACCCTTCCTGGGATGTCGATAATACCACTCATGTGATCATCACCTTGACAGCGCTCAACAAATTGCTCTTCCGTCTCCCTTCTCATATGATTATTCCTTTCGCTGGCGAACCGACCGTGCGCATCATTTGGTTCCTTCCGTTGAGAAGCGTTCTCCGTATAACTGAAAGGCTTACAGGCTTGGCCATTCGGGACGGCCTTCCTTGCCGCAAACTTGCTGCCACAAACACTGCTGTCTCCATGACCTACAATAACTTCTGGATGCTGCGAAGCCTGTGCACTCCTCCCCAAACTCGCTTCCTGCCTGAGTCCCACATTTGTCATGCCTTCCGTCCTCATTCCAGGACCAGCGTTCGCGCCTCTAAGGCATTGCAAGTTCCCTTCACCCGCCATATTTTGTCGACTTGCAATGCCAACAGGTGAGGGAGAAGGTGCTTCAATTGCCTTCTGCTTTTTCATGCTACCGGCGTGGTCCGGCTGTGAGTGCCCTCCAACTAGCGTTTGAAGAGTTCCGTGATTCAGCATCGACAAATGGTGACCATTGGACTTTGGAGAAACGATGTCGCCATCTCTCGACTCTCCTTTGTTGCTGAGCAACCTCTCCACCACCATCACAGCAGGATCAGAGTCGTACTCTTCAAAGTGCTGACCGCCCTCATTGGCACTATCTCTAGGTCTCCATTCGTCCAACAAGCTCTCCTGCTTCAACAACATTCCCAAAACGGCCTCTGGATCGCCTTCGTACTCCCAAGACGTGCATGCAAGCTCTCCTATCATTCGCCAGATTTCATCGACTTCCTCAAAGTTGGCACCCCAGAAGCGCCTGCGCGCTATGTTGATAAGTTGTCCATCCTCTCTCCATCTCCTCGTCAAGGTTGACATGGGTGTCGACTTTTCGCTCAACAGCATTCCACAATTCTTTCTGCTCATTCCAGACCCCTGACAAACCTTTCCAGCACTCAGCGGAAGCGATGAGGCCTCTGCAGACATGCCATGCACCGATTCGGGAAGAAATAGCACCTCTGCCTCCCCTAAGAAACCAATTTTCTTTATTCTGTCTGATATAGACTCCTTCACACACAGCTGCAGTGTTCTTGGCGAGAAGAGGAGGTTCTGCCCATGATGCAACCATCCATTCCTTCTGCTCCCAACCCCATTGGTCCCATTGTTACCAAGTCCCCGATCGCCACCCTCTTTCCCCACAAATCCGTTGGTTCCCCTCCCAGTTGGACATAAAGCCACCTTCTTCCCTGAGCCATTCTCTTTCGTCCCTTTGGAAGCGGAGCTTGCATCAATCCTCCTCATGCTCTTTGCCTGATGTCCTGGCCCGCTTGCACGAGTCCCACCGCTTCCATCCTCAAAAGGGCCTCCACCCTTGCTAGACACAACACCATTCGGGACTTTCTTGGTATTCAGTGAGGCACATGTTTTCTTGTGCAGCTCCATTCTAATTTCACTCTCAACGGACTCGTGGCATGCTTTGCAGTGAAACCTTTCTGGCCATACAGGCTCCAGACAAGTGCAGCGCTTCATATGCACCAGACTTGCATCATCACCACCTACCTCTCCGTTGGGTCCTCCTCCCTCCCGTGACAAACGTGGCGCGTCAGGAACCAGATTTGCGAGGACTTCAAACGCATTCAGCTTCCATCCCGAGGATAGCTTTGCAATGTGCCGTTCACCGTCATGAGTTTCCTTTGACAAATGATGTTGTCCTAGTCCCCCTTCAACCTTTTGGCCATCTTCGTGCTTTCTCCCTCCATTGACTCCCCATTCACCAGCTACACATGAAAACATCCGATCTCGAGCACCACTTCCATTGCCGGTTGCGGTGCCAAGCCCATTCGCGTACGCATCTTCCTTCTTGATTTTACAAGAAGTCGAATCATGTCCCCTCGTAGTAAACGCAATTGCATCGCCACACTTCCCCAGTTTCTCTCTACCCGTTGGACTTCCGGCAAGGTCTTTCCCCAGCGCCGTAACTGCCGACCACAACTCGTTTCCCGCCCACGAAGGGTTCGTGAGCCATCGCAGTAACTCTTGTACTTCCTCTCTTCCCTCATAAACACCCCATTGGCAGCCTATCTCCTTTGCATCTTGGCTGCTGGCGCTGGAATCCGGCGACCTGCAATCCTGACTCCTTTCCACCAGCAAACAGGTTCCTTCTCCATCACGCTTCCAGAACCAGTAACCTCTCCCAGCAGCATCCTGGCCGAGGAAACGACCCCCAAACAACCACCTCTCATTTCGCGCACTTCCCCTGGATAAGCAATCCCATTCGAACACCCGCTGAATATCCTGCAACCCCACCCATTTAAGCCCCGTACCCTTGTCATCTGGCGCTTCCTTCGCGATGCTCTCATCTCTTCTTGCCTCTCTACAGGGCTTGTAATCCACCTTTCCTTGTGGGGGAATGCCAGCAATCTTCAGGTCATCAAGGCACCTATCCCTGCCCACATCTCGCCGGAGAGGGCTAGCCCAGTTCTCCTGATCATGGGTTGGCACATACCCACTCTGTGTCATCTGCCTCTTCCTGTGGGAGATCGCCCTCTCATCCCTCCCTCCATCAGGTGCTAGCCCATCCTCACCTCGTAATCTCTTTCCCTTTCCAGGTCCTCTCTTTCCGCAGCTTCCCAAATCTGGCCCACGCTCACCTGCTTCTAATTCCAGTATCCGGCGAACCTCCGCAACCTTTGAAGCAAGACTGCACAATATCTTCAGAAGGAAGACCCTCTGGAGCAAACACACAACAGAAACCTGTTAGATACACTCAGGACACCCGTTAACATTGGAGCGATACAGAGACGATTAGTATAGCCCGCGCGGGCCTGCGCAAAGATAACACGCATAAACTGTGAAATGCTCCAACCTAACAATAAAAACAAGCATTCCGATTCGTCACACTCATATGCGCTTTCTGACATCAATAGCACTGCTGCTCCTAACGCCGAGATTTAAGTATGGATTAAAAAAAAAGACATACGGGTTCCCGTGGCAATCACAAAGTCATCGGTTTCCTAACGTTCCTTTATTAGCTATGTCATATGTACAGAACAGTAAGGTTCTATTTAGGAAAAAAAGAACACGAAAAGTATGCCATAAGCCCTACGCATGAGAGGTTCGCAAAAAAAAAAGGAAAAAACAGGAAAACGGAATGCAGACACAGATGTTCCACTCAGCTAGAGACTTGAAGCACTTGTGAGAGCAATCAGAAATCCACCACTAATTCCAGAGAGAAAGGTACTTCCTCAACTGGCAGGCAACATGTCCAACCACGTCCCGGAAGATATACTCTCTTGCACAAGACAAACTCCATCCTTTTCCCCACTGCTCTCTCCATCGGCTTGCCTCTCTCTCTCTCTCTCTCTCTCTCTCTCTCTCTCTCTCTCTCTCTCTGTGCGTCTGTGTGTGTGTGTGTGTGGATCAATCGTGCTGCTATGATTGACACGAATAGCAATTCGCTCATGTATAGGATTGAAAAAAAACTCTTCCTTCAGGACACCCATTAAGATTGGAGTTATACAGAGCAGATTAGCACAGCCCCTTCGAAATTATGACACGCATAAATTGAGAAATGTTCTCGAGTCTAAAACGAAGGGACAAAAAAAACGAAAAAAAACAGGGAGGGAGGAAAGCATATCGAAGGCAGGTACGTGTGAAATTCGGAACGAAGGATGCCACCCAGAAAAGACAGAAACACGAAAAACAAACGATAAGAGTGGACACTTACCTCCTTGATTTCCAGCTGCCAATAGTCTTTGCCACCAAGCTTTTCAGCCAGCATGCGCCACGGTTCCAAGTTATGATCAGAGTCCACGCGCGCAGACACTTTTTCCTCCATCCTCCCGCCGGCTGCCCCTGTTGGGGCCGAGTTCTCTCTTCTCCCCTGCTTGACATCCTCCTTAGACTTTAACCGTAGTTCGGCTTTCTCCTCTCCCTCGTGTAACCTCTCACAGATCCCAGCCTTCACACACTCCGGGCAGAACCACCTCCCCGGGGGGACAGAAAGTAACGGTGGAAACAGGCAGTAGGTATGGTATTCCATGTTACACTCATCGCACAGCAATGTGTGTGACAGGTCTCCACACACACCGCATATTCGGCAGCCCCCGTCATCCCAAGGTAGCTCTGCAGGACTGCTCCCGTCACGATCGGGAAGCCTTACATCCATGTCAACACTTCCAGACCCCTTCGCAGCCCCGCCCTTCTCCGTACTAGGTTCTTTCATAGCTACCTGTTTGATCACACCATAGTACCATACACAGTTCCAACAGAGACAAGGTAAAGATAAGTCGCAAAAGTCCCAAACTGGGACACGGTAAGAATAAGCCAAATAAAAATGATGAAACGAGCAACATAAACTGAAGTCAAACGCCAACGGAAAAACACCAGATTTAAGCACTGAGGGCAAACTCAGGGCAAACTCAGGGCAGACTGACCCTAGGCCCTTGCAATGTTAGAATTGTGAAATCAGCAGCCAGATCAAGTCCTCAGAGGACTTTATCTGGCCGCTGAATCCACGATTCTGCGATTATAAGGGCCTAGCGCGAGTACACTCTCACACTCGGTCAGTTTTCCTTACTTCTGGATGTAAGATTCATACATAAATGTAATCAGATACATTTAAGATAGACGAAGTCTGAGCATGCCCTGAACCACGGATCCTTTGAAGAAAGCAACTGGTATATATATAGCCTCCTTGCGTCAAAATATGGATACGAATAGAGCAACCAGACTTTTTTTTTCTTTTTTTTTTTTAAATACAGTCTGTCTTCTCCTCATATGGGGGACAGCTGTATTTAGCTACCCTATTTTCTTCTCTCAATGTCTTACCTTCCTTACTGTACCTACCTTTTTTTTGCCTACCTGCTCATCTCAGTATGCGACCTATCCACCCAAGGTAACCCAGCACCACACAACCCAAGACCACCAGGCACCAGACACCCCGAGCGCAGACAGCAGGCCAAGAGACTATGGACTAGGGAAAGTAGCCAACAAACCTACCAGACAGCAGGCCAAGAGACTATGGACTAGGGAAAGTAGCCAACAAACCTACTCTATGCCTAATAATTGGCGAACAGTACAGCTTTAAATACCCTACCCGAATCTGAGCCATCTTACTGTTATGGGTCTATAGACTCTATATCTACCACCCTCTGCTCAGTGCAGAGAGCAGACCCAGGCTGCTAACACTTTGCATAGGCCGGAACAATGTTCCCTAACCAGCCAGGAGGCCCAAAGCCGGCAATCTCCGCTGGTGAAAACCGGAAGTATACCCCCAGGAGGTCGTGGGGATTGAAAGGACAACGTTGGGAATCGAACCCACGACCTCCTGAGCGCCACTTACGTGCTCAACTGACTGAGCTAGCCCGCTTGGGCTGAGCAACCAGACATTCTATTTGAGTACAATGCCAATAATAGGGCTCGTGTGGTGGTTCATCAATGTGCCCGGACCACGGGGACCAAAATTCACGGCATGCAATGAATAGAAGCCATCAAAGACAGTCCTTCGGGACATCCGTTAAAATTGGAACGATACAAAGAAGATTAGCATAGCCCCTGCGCAAGGATGACACGCATAAATCGAGAAGCGGTCCAAAAAAAAAAAAAAAAAAAAAAAAGTTAATCAAAAAAATCTGAAAAGAAAATATATTATGGAAAAAAATAAATTAAACAAGATTTCCCCGAGCATTACATCCAAATTCCTTACCAAATTTGAAATAAAAATAAAATACGATTCAAGCTTCAGTAACACAGTGGATGTACGGGACGCTGGACCCATTTTTCAGCGGGTCTATTGCCCCCGCACTAATTGAAGGAGCTTGGATCGCAAAACCGTCCAAAAAAAAAAAAAAAAAAAAAAGAAGCCATCAAAGACAGGGTCGAAGCATCTATGTGGGTGCTCAGCTCTCACTGTCTCTGCGATCCTCTCGATCCAGCCTCTCAATGAACCTATCACACGATGAAACCTGATCACACTGGCCCTCACTCCACTAGACAGCATTCTAAAGTCATCTCGACCGTACAGTGATCCAGATCCACTCTGACTGACCAAACTTTTTGAATGTATCGGGACCAGAAGTGCTTCCAGATAATGAATCTACCACCATGTCATGCCATAGCCACATACATCACGACAAAGAGCTACTCTGCCTTAAAACCCAAAAACAAAGTGCTCTGTGTTGGTCTCGTACAGTTTCGAACCGCAAACTGGTGTCAATGTGAGCATGTATTATAGGGCCTCACTCCGCTACTTACCAAATGTGTAAAAATGAGAACGAACGTTCCGCTAGAACATGGGAAGATGCACCGCCTTATTTTTTTTCATTTATGGTAGAGTAGTTGAGCGAGGCCGATAGCTTTTCCTTGCTTTTGGAAGGGACCACTACTCAGAGTTCAAACGAAGAGGGATTGAATTGTCAGACGCTACGCCTCATCATCATTCTCATCACTCAATCATAAGGTGAAATCTGACAATTAGCGACGCCAAGGTCAAAACTGAGGCTGCGAAGAAAGGCACGGCAGAAGATACAGTCAAATGCACAGGTCAAGGGAATATACATGCATGCCACACCCGCAACAATATAGGCAGAGAATCAATTCAGTAGCCAGCGCGGAGGATACATACATAGCAGAAAGACACCCTTCAACCCAATCACGCACAGACGAGGACAACAACACAGATAAACAAAAACAAAAAAGAAGAAGAAAGAAGGAAGAAAAATAAAAGAAGAAGACGAAAGCAGAACACAACAGTAAAGAAGATGATGAAGAAGATGACGAGGAGGAGGAGGAAGAAGAAGAAGAAGAAGAAGAGGAAGAGGAAGAAGAAGAAGAAGAGGAAGAGGAAGAAGAAGAAGAAGAAGAAGAAGAAGAAGAAGAAGAAGAAGAAGAAGAAGAACACGTATTTCGAAGAAGAAGAAGAAGAAGAAGAACACGTATTTCCTCCTCCCGTCAATCCCTTCCAACAAATAATGCCTTTGCTATCTGCTGGGGTAGAGCAGTGCTCCAAGAATTCAAGACATTACTTGCACCAACGGTACAGAGCGGCAACTGACCTTCTCATCGTAAAGCCGGTCGAACGCATGAGCCATTTTCCCTGCGAGCATTGCTTCTTGAGTTGTTCTATCAAATGTTGCCCTTACATTCTGCCAAATCTGGCCATTGCACCACAAGACACCAACATTTTATAAAACTCCATGCGCATAAGTTATTCCCGGGCCAAAACTTTTATAAAAATTCATGTTTATAAAAATTCAATGAACAACACGCGTTCTCACCTTCACAATCATGACTAATTTTCAAATTTTCACTAATTCGCCGACATGACATCAAGCAAAAAGAAAGAAGAAGGGTCAACCACGAATAATCTTCACTACCATGATTTCCGAGAAAAACAAAGGCAATATCAACAGCCGCTCACCATTTATAAACATGGATGATAAGCGAACTTGCAGGAAGAACACCCCCTGCCCTCCACCTGCGGACCCCCACGCCCCCACCTGCAACAACCCCACCTCCCCAAGGGGAAAAAAAGCAAAAAGAAAGACCATGCCAGCGCCACCTGCCACAAGTACAAGTCACAGATCTTCATTGGTTGCTTGTGCCTACACCCGTGGTTAACCAGGGATGGTTTTTTTTCGCCGAATTTTGCACTGAAACTGTCATATTGTCCTGATTTTTTGCCTTTTTGGGGTATGTCATCTGTCCAGTTTTTACATGTTTGTGTCAATAAGGAAAGAGCTCGCATTTCGTTGGATTCACTGAATGCTTCGTTTTATAACTTGGAAAAGTGTTTTTCTGTTAGGGTTTTATAGCTGCGTACGGATACGGGCCGCAAGGCCGACCGGCGCCTGCCCGGGGGAGGTCCCGGGCGGCCTGGCAGGGCGGGCAGCCCAGTTGGGGGCCGGGCCCCCCCAGCACACCTTGTTGGGGGGGTTTCCGACCCCGAATCGGTGAGATTTCGCCTCCCCAGGGCCTCCCGGGTCCGAGCACGCCGAGAAAACGGCGCGTCGGGCCCGTGAGGCCTGTTTTTTTTTTTTTGAATTTGGGACGGCCCTCTGGCAGTCGATCATCTATGATCGACAGCCAGAGGGCCGTTCGTTTTTGGAGGGAAAACGGAGGGCCCGTTTGAACAAGCGACTGGCTGGGGCGGCCTGCATTGGCTGTCCAAACGGGGCATCGATACCTGCTCCAGCCGCCTGCGTTCGTCGTCGAGTCGCCCGTTGTCGAAGTAGCTGCCCCTCGTCGCCATCGCCTGGGAGCTTCAATCGCCCGTCGTCGTCGAGTCGCCCGTCGCCCGTCGCCAGCGTCGTCGATCGCAGTGCTCCTGCCTGCCGACAACCCCTGCCGCCCGTCGACGTGAAGTGCCGGTCTGTTCTTCTTCTTCTTCTTCTTCTTCTTCTTCTTCTTCTTCTTCTTCTTCCCTCCTCCTCCTCCTCCGCTCATTTTTCTGCTTCTTCTTCTCACCTCCTCCTCCTCCCCCTCTCATCTTCTTCTTCTTCTTCTTCTTCTTCTTCTTCTACCTCTTCTGCTTTTCTTCTTCCACGACTTCTTCACTCCTCCTCCCCGTTTCATCTTCTTCTTCTTCTTCTTCTTCTTCTTCTTCTTCTTCATCTCTCGTTGTCGTCCTTCCCCACATCTTCTTCTTCTTATTCTTCTCTCCTCCTCTTCCAACTATCTTCTTTTTCTTCTTTTTTTTTTACATTCGTTAGCGATAGGTCGCGAGATAAACGACAGGTAAGGAAAAAAA